AAACACTAGGGATTGAACTCCCCGCCTTCACACTAAGGTCTATTTCTAGCCCTTTTCTAGTTTTTTGAGACTGAGTCTCATTCAGTTGTCGAAGGCATGCACCACCTTGCCCAGCAGTTTATCCTTGATATCACATACCTGATATTACCCCCTCCAAATAGTTTTAGTGCAATTCTTTTAACAGAAAAAAAAAAAAAAAAGCAGGAAGCATTTTTAGCATATTGAACTGTTGAAATATGATGCAACTTCAATTCTTTTCTCTTAAAACCCACAACAATTCATCAGGAAATTCTGCTGCTTTTACATTTAAAATGTTACCCACAATCTTGCCACTTCTCTCCACAGTTGTTATCGTGCTCTGGGCCTCTGTAAACCAAAACACCTTCCTTGCAGCTGACACCACCCTGGTCCCCTCCACCCAGCTGCACACACACAGGTCTCTGCTCCACGCCCTCCAGAGTCAGCCCGGCCTTCCCAGGGGTATCAACCTAACGTTCCTTTCTGCCCTTCAGCCTTTGCCCCAAAGCTACCTTTTCTATGAAGTCTACCTCGATTAATACTTGAGCCTACCCTTCTGCTTGATCTGGGATTTCTCTTCTGTGTTACTAATCACCTTCTAAATACATTTATTGTGCTCTTTCCCATCTTAGCCCATCCATACTAGAACGCAACTTCCATAAATGCACAAATTTTGTGCTTTATATACTGGTACTTTCCAGGTACCCAGAACAGTAGCTGGAACAGTGGCGGTATTAAATAAATACCAGCGAGATGAACAACACAGACTTTGGCATCTAAGGCAGTACTGGGAGGGAGTTCTGTGTGCAGGCCCAGTGAGAGTAAAATCAGAGGTAGAAAAAAAAAATTGTAACATGATTGCTACAATTACAAGACTTAGTTTCTCTGAATAGAGATCTCTTTGGGCAGCATTTGACTCTACAATTTCTGCAAAAATACCTTAAAAATTTTTTTATGGAGAAAGTGAATGAAACTAACCAGTCTTATATATACACAAAGAAATTATTCTGGGTCCAACTATCTAGGATTCCCCTTTCTATAAAACTTCTGCATCTGTGCGAGATAGCCCCAGAGTGACTGCTGATTTTATTCTCTTAATCTAAGTTCTAGTCTCATTACCCTTAGGTTTCTATTTTTCATCCTCAGGGAAAGAGAGAGCAGTTACGGCCAGAGCATTCTCACATCTTTCAAAGAAATGGCATAGGTGTTAATCTTGTATTTATGTTTGATGCAGCTAATGACGGTGAAGGCTGGTGCTGCAGGTTTATTAATATGCAGGACTCTCACCTCATTAGTGGCGATGTATGTTTTGAAGTTAAGCTGCAGTGTTTGCCATAACATCGGATCTGGCCCAACATACTTTCTCACGTTCATTTCCTTTGTTTCTACCTGCAGTCAGTGTGTTCTGCTTCTAGGGCTCTCAGCCATGCCTCTCAATAAACACCTCTTTTCTACCATGCTTAACGCTGGTGGAAATTTCAAACATTTTTAGTAATTATGTGTTCATGATGTGATCATATCTTTGTCTTATCTTAATGATTTACATAGTTTTTGACCTACAAGCATAAAGTATAATAAACTTTTTGGCTAGATTTGGGTGTGTTCTTATTAACAGCATTAAGTGATTAATTCATACACTGAAAATATACTGTTATTAGCATTTGAGAGTTTGTATTCTCAAAAATATCATTCCTCAACCAAACACTGAAAAGGGCAAAACAAATAATAGTAACAGCTGACTAAATATAATATTTGATGATGTAATATGAATGGCAATTTCCAACTATTTCCAGCTGACATAAGGCTTACATAGGAACCAACCGAGCAGACTGACCAGCCCTGAGGAATGGGAGGTCTGTCCCTGCTCACTGTCCCACACCCTGACAGTCCTCAGTGGATATGCTGCGGAAATGAGTTCAGATTCGCAATAATTTGTTTGGGTATCACTAACCATGTTTTATAAATTCCACAATATACTATCTATATATATATTTGCTACAGCTAAACATACTGGGCCTCTGTATTCTTAAGAGGCCATTTAAACATGAGAAATAGTTTGTTCCCTTTTCATATTGGGTAACTGAATTTATCTCCAGTTCTTTTTTTTTATGTTAAATTTGTGGTAAGTATAAAGCTATGTCTTTTCCCTCCTACCTTTTTTTTTTTTAAGAAAAATGGGTAGAAAACGATGAACAGAAGAAAACAGATATTTAGACCAAGACAAAAGAGGAAGAAGCTCAGATCACTCAGGGTTTTCTTTTGCAATTGTTTGACTGCCTTCTCACACAGCCTGTGCCAGGTTCCTCCACCTCTCAAAAAAGGGACTCCTGTTGTTGATTTGACACTATGACACATATTCAGCTAGAATTTCTGTCGTCAATCAGAAGCAAAAATGAGTATATGTACTTTTAAGAAAGGAGAGCAGTAAGCTTATATAGAAAAAGTGTATAAACAAGTGTATTATCTATTTAATTGCCTCAGCTGAACTTAAAAGCTCTGATCTTTAATTGCTTGATTGAACTCATCTAAAAAGCTACAATTTTTTAATCAAGGAGGAAATTAAATAGCTTTTTGGTAAATAAAGAAGCATCTTTAATCTTATTTTTATGGAATCCAAGTTATTAAATATGGACAAAAGCCCTTCTAAAATATTAAGTTAACAACTACTCGATCTAGGGTAAATTTTTCACTACAAAAGTCTTCAGGGACACTTGCCTTCTTCTGCTCTTCGATAAAAACATATGCTTTTAAAGCCAGAAAGTAAAAGTGTCCATGAATAGCTAAGGAAATGCAAAGCTAAACATGTGAATGTTTAAAGTTGAAAAGTCAAGATTTCAGGATAACGAAGACAAATTTTCCTATCCATTAGAGTTCTTAGTGCTACTAAGCTTCCTCATGTATTTAATGAGGTGTTCTAGCACAGTGTGCTAGAACATAGTAGAGGACCTGTGATATTAGGGATGGCTCTGTCTGCTCTAAGATTCATTAGGCTCTGATTTGGACAGGGGCAGACCCACATTCACTCCCTGATGCTTACTCGAGACTCAACTCTCCACACCTGCCTCATGCAGGCCCTCACAGACCCTTCCCACACATAGGGGTGCATTATGCTGGGGGCGCTCTGGGAACTGGGTGGGCCAGCAAAGACTGAAACAGGAGAGGCCCAGAGTTCCCTTTGAAACCTTCATGGCCTCGATCAGCCATGCTGCTACAGCCCTCAAGTGTCACAGATCAGAGAGGCCTTTCCTGGCCCAGCTGCAACCAGCACAGGGAAAAACCCACAGACCTCTGGGAGGTTCTGATCAACCATGTTTGCACACAGAGAGCAAAGAACAGTGGCCCTGGGAATGGGACGCTAGACTTCATTTTCAGCTAGACAAACCTATTTGAAACGTGTATCAAGGTCCCATTTCAAATGAAAAATTCAGTTATTTCTCCCTAACACCAAGTGAAAATAAAACCAAAAAATATACATATTGGGCTACTAGAGCACTGTTCCCTATCTACTAGTTCCCTATGCATTAGAATTCTCAGTGCTACTAAGTCTTGTAACAGACAGTTATGGGTAGAGTCAACTCATTCAAAGTCAGAATTACCCTGTGCACCTAGAACACAGAACCATCTTAGGACTCGCTCTTGTGACACTGCACCCACTCCCAGGGCACGGTCCTCTGAGTGAAGGCTTTGAGCCTGAGCACTGATACCATCCTTTAGTTCTTTAGTCAGATGAACTGTGTAGCAGATACCCATAAAAATCAATGAAACGATGAAAACTGAACACTGACTTGGTAATAAAATGGCTATGACCACTTTATGGATTCGTGGGTGTAGAGAAGCAGAAATAAAGGGAATGAAGAGCAGCCATGTAAGTTACAGCATGCTACACAGCATCCTTTTTCAGTCTTTGGCCCACCAGACCTGTTTACCTATGTATTTATAGCCAGGGAAAGCAATGGTGGCACAGTTCAGCTGACTCTCCTCATGCTTTCATTTTGCACCAACCTAACTTTGTAGTAGAGAGAATTTTAAAGGAAAATTGGCTTATGAGTCCATTTAATCAATATAAACACTTTCAAGAACTAAATGATGACAATACCTGATTTTACTGTCAAAACCTAGATACCCTCTTTAAAATAGGAAGGAAGATTTCAAAAGAAAATTGGAATCCCTAAGGGTATTAAAACTTCCCACAAAAGAAAACAATCCTTGGTGACAGATATACTACTACAGTTGCAGACTTCCTCCCTCTTTTAATTTAGACCTTTTTTTTTAAAAACAGCAACAAAACTTTCTTTAATCACATTTAGTTGTATGTGACTACATTTCCCAAAGTAGAGAAAGCTGGGTGCGCAGAGGTGTTAAATTAGACAGCACTGTGGTAGCATGAGGCTCTGACGCTGCTCTTCAGTCTCTTCCTCACTTAATAATTCGCTTCTAAATGAACTCAAACACCTTGCGAACATTTAAAAAAAAAAAAAAAGAGGTTACTTTTGCAGCATTCAACAGTTATCCAATTATTCTCTTACATGCTGAACTGTTTCTCAGTCTTTTGCCAATGCCTTAAAGTTCCACTTTCTACGTCTGAGCCCCACTCTCTGAAGAGACAATGTGTGATGACGTCTGAGCCATTAATAAAAGGAAGGAAGGAAAGAACTGCGTGGGGAGAGCGAAGGCTGTGCACCGCAACTGACAATGCAGTAAGACAAATGGACCCTGACATTTTTAAATATTATGAAATATCTTCTTATGTGTTTGGTAAGTGAAATTCACACAAAAAAATAGCAAATTTGTAATCTAAAAGCAGGAAACATGAAAGAAAAAACAAGCAAATTCACATTTATATAAGCAACCACCCTTTTGATTATCAAATATGTTAGCTAACATATTAAATGTCCCATCATTCATTTATTTTAAAATTCAAAGCACCTGGAGAGACTCAGCCCAACCCCAAATCAAGTCAGGGCCTATACCCCAGCACATACCTCTGTGTAAAATCTTTAGACTCCACAAATAGGTAAGGCCATTAACAACCTAAATGTATGAAAGAAAAAAAAAAAAGTACAGTTACAGTTTTTATAGAGAAATTTCTACAGTTAAACATAACCATAAAATTTGCTTTAAAACTCTCAACTAATACGCATTTACTGAACATTTTTCATTTTCGTGCTTTTTTGTGGTGACACTGAATGTAAAAGCTACATGTTCTTTCCTTGGGAGCTTATAACGTCCCAAAGATAATGCATGCCAAACAGAAGAAATAAGTATATGTGTATACATGACGATCATGAAGAAAAAAAACACTAAACTCTTATGGCATGATGGGCAGGAAAGAAGGGGCAGAAAAAAGAACAGACATCTTATTGTTTTATACTTCTGCATGACTTTTCTTGAAATCATGACATTTATGACCAAGGAGAAGCTTTTTTTCTTTTTGTAGTTTTAGGTTTATAAACTCAGGTCTTGAACACTGTACGCATATCTCAGGGAGCTACTTCACTTCCTCAGCCCAAGAAAGTTTTGAATTAACTCATGAACAAAGTAGTAACCCATCTGCAGTCAAAACAGTTCAATAAGGTGGCAGCTCTGAGTGACACGTTCAGTTGATGTGAAGAAAAGGAAAGAAAGCATTACATTTTAGGCATGTGTTTAGTGATGCCTCTGTGGAATTTCCTGTATTATTGTTATGTCTTTTTTGTAAGTGTAAAATAATTTCAAAATAAAGAACCCCTCCCCTATTTTTAAAGTTTATTGGGGCTGGAAAGATGAAACACACCAAAATGATCCTCACACACTATGAATGTGAGAGTTACACAGATACTATCACAAGTGCAAGTCAAGAAAATAGTAATGCAAATTACATCTGGATTTTTCTCTTTAATGATCCGAAGAATAACCCAACTAGAAACTTAAAATTTCAAAATCTTTATACAAAAATTGTTATGAAAGGAGACACATACATTTCATTTACAACCATCAATCCCATATATGATCCTGTAATTTCAAGACTGATTGATGATTAGACACCAAAAAACAGAGAATGCACCATTAAAACAATTTACTCCAAGAATTTAAAAATTATTATCATCACAAAAATTTTAGGTTGAGAACCACATGAATAAAAAACCCCAGTCATAACAAAAAGTAACTGAGTAGTTCAAAAATCTTAAAAATGATGAAAAAAAGGTGACCAAAAGGCTTTAGTTGATCAAAAAAGACTATGAACAATGCAAGAAATGCAAAGAGAAAAATTTACAAATATTAAAGATCTAGAAGATGGAAATCTATATCCTTTAATGCTGAGCACTTAACATATTTTAATAGTTCTCATGGAGAGAATGCATTCCTGAAAGATTTGCCAACAGAGTATAATCAATTTTATTGCATGTTTATCTATTTTAAGAAAATTATTTCTTCCAGAGTTTAGAATTGACATTACAATAAAGCACATGCTCCAGATAGCAAAACACAAAAAAAAGAATATTAATAAGTATGTAATATTAATATAATTATACTATATAATATAAAATATTTTAAAAATAAAAAATATTAATGGTAATTTTAACATTAAAGGAAACAACAGAAACATTTCTAAAAGTGTTTAAGAAAAAAATAACATCAATAATGAAAAGAATTTCTCTCTGAGTAATAGGAGGAGGTCATCTTTAGCATGGAAGCAATGATCTTTTCAATACTAGGAAGCTAGGTTAAACTTCTCAACTTAGAAGCTTAATTGCATTATATAAAACCTGCCTGTTCCAGACAGCATACTATTAAAATTCCCAAAAAATGAAAATCTGAGATAATCGAATACATTCAGGTTGTCAGGTTAAAAGGAGTCAAATGAATACAAATAAATTTTCTTAGATTCAAAAAATATTCTTTCTACTGAGAACACAGACTAGATTTCCTTTAAAGCACATGTGTATCAGTGCACAGGGGAGCTAGAAATCTGTGCATGGAAATCTAGAGTATTATTATGGGTATTCAGCGGGCCAGGCTTCATGATAATGACTTGACAAAGCCTTGACACGAAAGTCCTCAGATCTGCTGTCAATCACTCGCTCCTTGACATGTCAAGTGCACATCCTTTCAGGGACAGCTTCAATCAACGTTCGCTCTCAACATATAGTATGCAGTGTCACTGCTTCAGAAGTGAGAGGAAAAATAAAGTGCGTTCAGTGGCAAGAGAGGCAGAAAGGTGTTCCTCTAAGGATTTTAGTGGACAGTAGATAAAAATCACAGAGCAAGCTGGAACGCTGAAGTCAGGAAGTTTATATGGGTTTTGTGGAATAAAAACTGTTCCCTCCCATACTGGCTCCAGAAGAAAGTGAACCACACACCTCACAAACTTTAGGTCCACCTTGGAATGAACCGCGGCTCTGTGGACCTGCTCTGCAGGCTGGATTATTAGAAGGTGGAAAATAAGATTCATCTGGGGAAGGGAGGGTAGAGATGTCTAATTGTTGTTGTAAGCCAGAAAAAGAAACTGAAGGCCAAGTCAGGGTACTGCACGCCTTTAGCCTCAACTACTCAGGGGCTGAGGCAGGAGGATCACTGAGTCCACACCGGACCAGCCTGAGCAACACATTGTGACCCCTTCCTGAAAATGAATCTGGGGCTGGAGATTTAGCTCAGTGGCACAAGCGCCTGGTTGGCAAGCACAAGATTATGAGATCAACCCAGCACCAAGGTGGGTGAAAAATGAAGCAGGCTGGGATTGTAACTCAGTAGTACAGTACTTGCGGACTATGTGTGAGCCCCTGGGTTTGATTCCTAATACCAAAAATAAATCAGTAAATAAATAACTACAAAAATTTAAAAACAACAGCAATAATGAAGAATCTAAAGCAACTGTGTTAGTGTATTATCTCTCATTCATATTTATTTTTTAAATGTATTTTTCAATTTTTAGGGTGGTATTAGGGATTGAAACCAGGGCCCTCCCACTGTATATTCCTAGTTCTTATTTTTTGGGACAGAGTCTTTCTAAATTGCTAAATTACCCAGTCTAGGCTTCAATTTGTGATTCTCCAGAATCAGCCTTCCAGAGTGCTGGGATTACAAACATGTGTCATTGTATCCAGCCTCTTTTTTTCATTTTTAAACAGTTCTCCTTTTCATCCTTCCTGCAATTTTGTTTTTCTCTCTCAAGACTCTTGGGAGAGCAGAGTAAAAGAACGATGTGTCTGGAGTCAGATAGCTCTGCGTTCAAATTAGGATGTATTAACGAGACAGTATCTCTGGCAGGTTATTTTTTTCTAAGCCTCATTGTGTATAGACTATCATGTTCAATAATCTAGTTTGCAGGATTGCTGTAAAGACTAAATGACATAATATGTATACATAAGTATGCCACAGTGATTGGCACAGGAAATATTAAGCATTTATTTCCTACGTTCCGATTTTTTGCATGGAAGTAAGCAATAGCTAAAGCTATACTCATGCTTTCTGGCCTCACTGAGGAAACTCGGGTAAGTCTCTGGATCACAGTAGGACCCTGGAAACCTGGTCAGTCTGTAAGAACATATTATATCAACCATGACCTTTAGCCCATCAATTTGCCAGTCTCACTTTGATTGGTATAATCCTCTCAGTGTCAGGAGTAATTAACTCTGTGCCAATATGATGTTTGTCAGCTATAACGAAGAATGATTCTAGCTTGCAGCCTACTCAGATTATACGCAAACAAAATTCCGCTGTGGAGGCATTACACATACTTAAGGCCCCAGCAGAGTTTACGGAAAGTCACAGAGGAGCAAAATTATTAAAAGCATTTCTTCTACTCCAGCCATAAGAAGCTTTCATTATTATGATGGGATGAGCCATTTATGCTAGCGAATCTGGATAGAGTTATAAAAAACAACAACAAAAAGACCAACCCCTCATTTTAAAAACTAAAAGGGCAACTGTGAACAAAGATATGGACTAGCACTTATTTTAATGTCTTTCACTGAAATAATTTTTATCATCTTTTGAATTGCCTAACAGGCAAGCCCTAGTGAAAGCAGGATTATTTTTCTGCTGAGTGCACTGACTTCACAGTTTTCCCCACTCTGGTGGAATTGGAAAAACCAGTGGCCTTGACTGGGTGACCTATCAAGAGGGAGGCAAGATTTATGAAGGAGGGAGAGCACGCTTCTCTACTGAGGAAGACAGATTTCTATTTTTTTGCCCTGTTCAATAGATAATTGAGTATATAGAACTTGTATACGGGTTTTTTTCTTTTTCAATTCATATCCTTTGTCTTTTTCTTTTTGCCCTTTATCATACATGTTATTAAAATCCACAGCCTGGAACTGCTAAAAGCCACTAAGCATTCATCCTTCCCTGAGATTAGAGGAGGAAATGAAACATTTTTATTTTCATCTAAAATAGTGATCTAAGTGCTCAAATTTCAGATTCATCTACCTGCACATGTAGATTACAAGCTATTTAGCAGGAACAGCATCAGAAAAGGAAGTTCTCATCACCCTGGGAAGTTCACACTAATAATTAGAAAGAAAAAAGGAAAGCTGTGAATTACAGTGAACTAAGAAGACTAAATAAGTGTCCATGTTGGATTAAAGAATTTGAGTTATCAGTTTGATGTATAATGAATGTGAAAATAAGCCATTTAATTAAATGGTACATGATAGAACCACTTTGTTCTGTATTAAACCATTTACACCATCAGAGTGCCTTTAGTTTAGCAATTGTTTACTATTATACCACCCATGATTTCTCTGAGATGCTGTGTAGCCCATATCTGAAATCTGGAACTTACACAGTACTGTTAGTTTAGCTGATATAGTTCACTAGTTTATTAATGAATGTCAAAAAGAGGAAAACTGCTTGTAATCACAAGGGGGAAACTTACTAGAGGTAGTTGATTAAATGGAGTTCTAGGACATAAGAAGACTACAGAGATCTCTAAAAGCAGAGTAGTATTTTTCATAAACTATGTTTAACAGTTTAGGCTCTGCAAGTATTTTCTAGTCATGTGTTTATATCTATAAAATGCCCAAAAGACCAGTTTTATTTTTGAAGAAGTTGGAAATTCTACCGGCCAATTTGAGCACCGAGGTCCCTGAAAATGTGATACTACAATTGGTCAGAGTAGTGTATGTTAGGGGTTAGTCCATGCTGAGAAGAAACAATAAAATGATAAGAAAGGACCTGACAGCCAATCAGGACGAGGGGGCAAGGGAGAGAGAAACATCCTGGGGATATAAGAATAGGTGTGACTAGACAGATTAAATCAGACAAATTGCATAATACTGAAATCATATACTTACTGCTACTGCAATTCTTCCAAGGACGTGTTCTGGAATTTTCTTATATACATCCAAAGATCCCCCTGTAGAGACAAAGATGTGGTGTTATCTTATGGTTGATACATTGTGTCAACCTGAGACCATATAGGGGTTTAACTAACAGACTCAGCAGGAAGCCAGGGTTCTTAATTTGTAAATATCCTACTCCTGTGCAAGAAGAAGGAAGGAGTTTTGTGAGTGCTACACTCTGCCCTGATAAGGGAGGTAGAGAGGCTTGCTTTTGTCCTGGCTGCTTTTGCTGGCTGCTGCCTTGAAGTGTTGACCTGGAGCCATGCCATCCTGCCTTAGAGCCAGATGACTATGAACTGAAACCTCCAAAAACTGTAAGCTAACTAACCTTTGCTTCTTTCATTTTGTGTGTTAGGTATTTTGCCCCAGCAATGAGAAAAAAGTAACCAGGATATGTTACTACAAAGAAAAGCAGATTGGGCCATTGTCCTGTGCATTTATTGTCAAAATACATTTTCCTCATTTTTATTGGATGTGAGGCAAAACTGGGTTTTACACGCTTTTAATAATGATAGAGTCAGACATTCAGATGAAGTATAAATAGATACTTCCCTGTATTCCCAAGTATATATTCAGTCACATAATGCAAAAAAGTAAAGGAATTCTACCCTATTAAGAATCTACATTTTATGGAAAGTTGTACATACACAAAACTATAAAGATCAACACGACAGTTACATCTATCATGTCCTGTGTACCTCTTTTTACAAATGTAAATTAGGGCCTTGTCTTTAAATGTTCACATTAACCAAGAAAAGTTGGTTGGATATAAGGCTCAAAACACACCTAAGGACCTATAAAGCAAAAAGAGCAATGCTAACATTTATCTAAATGAATGCACCTCTTCAAATCAGGTATCAAGACAAGAAATCAGGGCTGGAGTTTCAGCTTAGCAGCACAGTGTTTACCAGAGTAAGTTCAAGTCCTGAGTTTGATTTCCGGTACCAAAACACATAAATAAATAAATAAATAATCTATTCTCAAGATACTGTCTTGGTTTCCTGTTGAAAATTCTCTTTGATAACACTTTGAAAACCACTTCATGAAGTAAAAAAGAAACCCCAATTTCTATATCGTAACACCCTCTCTATCTTTATCTAATTTAGCTTTAAATTATTTTTGGCATTTTCCAGAAAATTAAAAACCGTTAGATTGTGAACATAATTAAGGCAGGAGCCAGTTTGGTCATTTCTCATTTTCATCAATTTGGAAATTAGCATGACTCATGGACAGTACAGAAGGTTGTTTAATAAATTATCTGTCAGATGAATAAATGCATGAGTCAAAACTATCACAAATTTCACTAGTTAGTCATGGTTACTGTGATGCAATTTCAAAGAAGGAAACATAAACCATTTGTGGTGAGAGTAGCATCACTGAAACAACTGAAACTTCCTAGGTACGCTTTTCTTTCTTTCTTTCTTTCTTTCTTTCTTTCTTTCTTTCTTTCTTTCTTTCTTTCATTTTTCCTAGGTACTATTTTCAAGGAATCAAATATTCATTTGGAAGTATACACGTGGGTAGGCTTGTTAAATTTTCAATTTTACATAAGTGGTATATGAATTTCAGGAATAGAGTTTATGTAAAGAACTGTTACTTATTAATAATCTGGTAAGAATCACTTTAACAATATGTAATAACCTTCCTATTAAGAGTGAAACGTAGGGCTGGGGGTTTAACTCAGGGGTATAAGCGCCTGCTTGGCAATTCGAGGTCGCCAGCACCAAAATAAAAAGGTGAAACGTGCAAAGCTCTACAAAAAATTGTCTAGGACTTGTGAGAAACATTTTTTTTCCTATCAAAGGCTAAAAATGTACATTTACCACTTTACTAAGGGATGACTTATCTGAATGCTTAGTAAGGTGAAGCATGACATTCCTTAGAAATACAGTCAAGTCTGTTTTGCAGATGTATTTTTATATCATATTGTTATAAAGGTGGATATCAGAGAACAAAAATTTTTAATTAAAAATTTCAATGTAAAATAGTAGCTATGTGTACATGAAGCTACTAGTACTGTTTAAAGCACACAGAGGAAAACAAGATTACTGGTTTAGATAAATTTCGCTTATAGTTTCCAGATTCTGACAAGAAGTTGGGACACCAGTGTGTAACTAAAACTTATGCTTTGGCTCTGGTGCTACTGGGAAGACGACGAGAAGAAGATACCTGCAAAGACACGAACTGTCCCTTATTTACTAGAACAGCATTTTTACTACAGATGCAGTAAAAGTGAAAATGTGGCAGGAAAGTAAAAGCCTGTGTCCTCCCTGATCATTCAGATGGCCAGGCAGTTGCAGGGATGAACAAGTTCGAGAAGATAAAGCTTTACATGGTACTTAGGAGAGTACTGAGAGCGGCTTACTGGACCAACCCAGTGAGCAGTGAGGTGCTCCAAACTTCCAGGTGCAGCCCATCCACAGGCACACTGGCAAGAAGTCCTAAGAGGAGATTCATTTTTACATAGGATATAAATCGGGTGGACTTAGTTAAACAGACAACAGTTTCAACAACTAAACCAAAAAGCCAAAGATCATCCTTCTACCATTACCAGCAGAATAAGCCAAAAAAAAGCCCTTTTTGAGGTAGTTTAATGGTTCTTGGACACATTCCTTTATTTCAGTTAGGTCCCCCTTCTCTAGGCATCCATATGGATAAATCTTCATGTGTCTGGTTCTATGTTGTTACCCATCCTTTTTGTGCTCATTAGAGATAAATGTCAAGGATGAAAAATGGTATGGTAGTCATACTCAGAAGGAAGAGTTTCTGTTAAACTCATAGTGCAGTTCAGTAACTCTTATCAGGCTAAAAAGGGTAGAGGGTTTCTGTTTGTTTTGCTCATCTTACTGCCATTTGCATCCTACAGGTTTATCCAAATAAGGTAACGCTTAGGATTACCAAATCACCAAATATTAGTGCAAAAAGGGACATCAGTATGAATCCACTCACTTCATGTTTTGGTTTAAAGTTAAATGTTCCCCCAAACTCTCAAGTGTGTAGAAGGTGAGTGGATTAAGGGGGTATTGTACTCATTACTAGATTAGCCCACCTGTGAACCCGCAGCTTGAATGTGCTGTTAGGACTGGGGCTTAGTAGGAAGGGCACGACCTTGAAGGGTGTATCGCACATGACCTTCAAGGGTGTATCGCACCCCTGGCTTCTTCCTTTGCTCTGTGCTTCCTGGACCCTATGACATGAGCAGCTTCTTTCACCAAACCCGTCCATCAAGCCCTTCCTGCTTTCCACCATGCCATTCCAAATTGCCACTGACTATAGACTGAATCTTCTCAAAACCATAAGCCAAAACATACCTACCTGCCTTTAAGTTGTGAGTGTTGGGCACTGTGTCTTAGCGATAGGAAAGTGATTAAGATACCTTATATGACAGATGGGAGAAACTGAGTCCCAGAGTTATGAGTACGAGAGCTAAAGTCAAGCCTCAGTCACTGGTAAAGCTCGCAGAAAATCTAATACTTTCAACTTTCCAAAACGCCAAGAATTAAAAGCTCTACCAATAATATTACACAGCGTTAGAATTACATGTAAACTTTTCAATAGCTTCAAAACTCACTGCAATGTGATACCACTACTGTATGACATATGACAGTGTATGAGATGTTGGTAGTCAAAGCTTCCAGGAACTCATTCATATGTGGTTCCACGGCTTTGAACTTTATGCTCATGACTCAACAGTTACTGGTTTATTCTCTATGCCAGGCACTTCTCTCTTTGCTGGCCACAGGCCATCCATGACTAGTCTTTCACTGCATGCCACTGTCCACTAGGGAGACCAAGAAAAGGCTGTTGGTGGATTAGCAAAAACCCATGCTCGCTGCAGGACAATTAAGATACATCTGACGATAAATTAGGGCAACCTTCTTCATAGAAGTAGACCAAAATTTCTGTCCTTACTCTAACACAGAGGCTAAAATAGAAAGTAGTGCCTTGCACACAGGGTAAATACATAGTAATAAATAAACCAGAAGCAACATTTCTGACATGTTAGTCCCAGTATCTGCCTTAAAATAAGCATGATTACTACTAATATCAAAATACTGAAATCAGGAGCCACAAATAAAAATTTCAATGGATAAGCCATCACAGTTTTTTTCAGCTGAAAATATTAAAAAACCCTTTCTTTGCAATGAGTGTTTTTAAACAATTTATCCCCAAAGACAACCTAAATGCATGCATATATAATTGAAATCCACGCTTTGGGTGTTTATGAATGGATTAGTTTTCATAACTGAGAAGGTGTAACATACCACACTTCTCTACCTAAAACTTGGCGGTGGTTTCCTAATAAATTCAGATGCAACACAAAACATTTGAAGACACAATGATGAAAAAACATTAATCCATACATTTTACAAGCTCCTCAACTTATAATAAACTAGGATAAAAGTTAAAGAAATTCACACCTGGACCCACCACTATGAAACTCTTCCTAGCCTAGGACAAAAAGGGAATCTTGAACAAGCAAGTGAATCAAGGTGTGAGTTACAACCCTACTTCAATTTGGTTCACAAATAGAAGCATTTGGCAAAATTTTGTTTTTGTTTACAATTCTGCACTGATGACTATGAACATCTTTTTCCACATAAACACAAACACGGCCATCTTTTCCAAAACTGTAGAACAAACTAAGTTCGTGAACCAAGGTACCACTGTAGCTGAAAGAAAAAAACGGCCAAGAATTCTACCTTCTGCAAAATTATCCTACAACGCATGAACGAGGAATTTGCAAATAAAGAAAAGCTAAAAAAAGTAAATCACTGGCTGACCCATCATAAAAGAGATAAAATGAACTTAGACTGAAGGAATGTCAGACTGCAACTGCACAAAAGCAGAGAGCTGCAGTTTCTAGTCAACACAAGCTGTTAAGCTATCTTTTTTTTTTTTTTTTTTTTTTGTACCAGGGATCGAACCCTCAACCTTGCACTTGCCAGGCAGGCACTTATATGTAAAAAGCTGTTTTGTTCAGCAGATTAGGTTCACAAAAAGCATTTTATGGTATTTTTTATTTACTATGGGCTTACTGGGAAATAAGCTTATTATAAGTTGAGGAGTATCTATACAATTAAATGAAGGTGATATTAATCTTAACTAAATTGTTATAGGGTAAGATGTTAGTTATAATCCCTAGGGCAATCACTAAGAGTATAACTTAAAAACTATAGTAAACCAAGCCACCTAGGAACTTTTATTTTATGAATGTATGTATGTATATAAATGTTTTGAGACAGAGTTTTGCTCTTAGTACAGCCTGCCCTTAAACTCATGATGATCCTCTGGCTTCAACCAGCCTCCTGGGATTGTGGGACCTTCTGGGATTACAGGTATCACATGGAAATCTAAATGGGGCATTAGAAAATATTTAACAGAAAAGAAGGTAGAAATAGAGACAGGAACATAAAAGACATAAGATATAGTAAAATAGCAGATATAAATTTTACCTTGTCTGTAATTATATCAAGGGAAAATGATTTACACCTTCTGACTAAGTAAGATATTGGCAGAATAGACTCAGATGCAAAGGACTAAATAAACTGGATATAAATGACAGAAGATATAGCACACACACAATAATTAACAGGGAGTTAGAGCGACTATATTATTGTCAGAAAAAATAGTTCTTGCTCAGATACTATCACTAGGGCAAAAGAAAGACTTTAAATGATAAAAAGGTCAATTCATCATGAAACTATAACAATCATAAATTTAATGTATTACTAATTAATACAGTCAAATATGTTAAGTATAAATATATAAAGTAGAAAGAGACAACTCAAAAATGTTATCTGCAGACTTCACTATTCAACTTTCAAAAATGAATACAACTACACAAAGACTAATGAGAATAAAATACTTGAATAGCATTTTAAACCAATCAGATCCAGTAGGTATCTAAAAGACTCTCCACCTGCTCACAGCAGAACACATTCTTCTCAAGAACACACACAGCGTTCTTCATGACAGACCATGTGTTAGGGAATAAAACAAGTCTCAATAAATTTTAAAATAACTGCAGTCATGGCAAAGTATGTTTTTCAACCATAATGGAATATTAGAAATTAACAATAAATGAGCACTTGAAAAGTTTACAAATATGTGAAAATTACATGTCATGCTCCTAAAATAAAAAAACAGTGAAAAGGAAATCACTAGGAATGTCCTTTATGAGAAATCAGAGACACAATATAGTAAAACTTCTAGAATGCTCTTAAAGCTGCATTTCATGAACTATGCTGACCAAGAAGGAAAAAAGTTTCTTCACCTTACTAAAATCTGGAATGAAAATGAGAACATTGCTACCAGTTTTACAAAAAGTATTACAAGGGAAGAGTAGCAACAACTGTACATCAACAAATTAGATAATTTAGATGCAGCATTATCCTGACACAGAAAACAAGGACATACAAAAACACAAACCAATACGAATATGAACGCAAGTATTCTCAACAGCTGCAGAACAGATGCTTGGAACACACAAGGTCCTTGGTGGAAGCCCATGCAATGCACATACACACAGAGACACACAAATACCAGTAAACTGAACCCAGGAATATATACTAGCAGTGACTAGCACAAAAATAAAATGAAGAAAATAGTTCAATTTGCAGTATCACTTAGAAAATACTTAGGTGCAAGCTGGGCATGGTGGCACATGCTTATACTTCTTAAAGGATGTTATACAACAGTTAGTAGAAACAGGAAAAGACAGTCAACATTGTTAGTTCTTGGGAAATCTAAAAATAAAAATGTGATGCTCTTTTTTACAATAAGAAAAGGTACATAACAACAAGGGTTGACAAAGACAGAAAACAGAATCCTAAGTTGCTGGCATGAATACAGAATGGTATGGAATGGAACAGAACAGTTTGGTAATTTCTCCAAGAGTTAAACAGAGAGTGATCATATGACCTAGCAGTTCTACCTGAAGGTATAAACTCAAGAGAACTGATACAACATATGTTTGTACAACTTTTACATAAATGTATGTAGTAGTATTATTCATAATTGGAAATAAAGTCAAAATATTCCAAATGATCATCAAAACCTGAAAATAAACAAAACTGTTGTAGTCAAGATTGTAAGGAAAATCATTTAACACAGGACACATAATTTATGGAGTTATTTTATAATAGACACCCAAAGAGTTGAACATGAAAAGTACAAGAAATCTGTCTACACACTAAAGACCCCAAAATATTGTGCTGAGGCCCTGGACCCCATGGCAACAGAATACACTAAGTGCAACATCCTGCATGAGGCCAGCTGAAGACCTAGAGCTCAGGGCAACGTCTCATGCAAGTCTGTTTCACAGATCTGCACTGGGAAGGCCTAAAGGTCAGCAGTGGAAACCAGAATGTCTGTGCCAGAGAGATGAAGGACCTGTGCCAGCAGCTGAGGGTTCTGGCGTGGAGCCAGGAAGTGACACTCAAAATAAGGACTAGGGATCTTCCCAAAAGTACCACAACCATCCTCAGTGACAACAAGGTCCCGAGTTCCACTGACAATAAGAACAGCCGAGTTTGTATCAGGAAGCCAGAGTGACAAGCTTCTTCAGGAGACTGAATAGCACACATCTTCCCCTCCAGAGCCAGGAAACAATGCTCAAAGTAAGGACCAGAGCTTCCCTTGAAATGAATAGCAGCCATTCTAAGCGACAAGGTCCCGAGCTCTTTTGATGATGAGAACAGCCAAGCTCCTATCAGGAAAGAAGCTCGACAAGCTCCTCCAGGAGAACCCATGGCAACAGGAGAACACTACCACCAAGAGAACCAACAACACTATTTCTTCCTCCCTAGCTCTCCCTTTTATGTTGGCAATGATCCTCAGGTGGACCCTCCACACCAGCACCTCACTGATTCAGTTCAGCTGGCTGTCACAAGCTGACCACCAGTTGTCATCACAAAAACATGAGACCGCTATGCAATGGATATTAGTGATAAAGTGGGATGAAGTATAACATGATGATCTTTGAAAAGAATACACTAAGTACAAGAAGCCACACACAAGGGCCACATATTTATTGTACGATTAGGTTCATGTGACATGTCAGAATAGGTAAATACATAGAGGAAGAAAGGACATCAATAGTTTCCAGGGACTCAAGGGAAGGGTACTAATGAGGGATTCACAAGGTTTTCTTTCAGGAAATAGCAACAAATGTTTCAAAATTAGATACTGATAATGGTTGAACAACCTTAGGAATATACTAAAAACCACTAATTTGTATACATTAAAAGGGTGAATTTTATAGTATTTGAATTATATCTTAATAAAAAAATTTTAATGTAACTGAAGACTTCAAAGTAACAAAAAAGTTTAAAAGAGGTAACCTGTTTGCCTCTATGAATCTACTTTATCTAGGCAGTCTCCACATTTGTCATACTACCTATATTAAGATTTTAAATTCTTGACATCTACTAAAACTAATTTAGAATACATTACACACTTACTATAGTATCAAGGTACCCATACTGATTCATTAAAAGTCTGATAGGGCATGAACTGACTGTATTAGTAAGATACTGAGAAAACCCATGAAGAACTGTGTGCATGCGTGTACATGTGTGTACGTACAGATGTTTTCAGTAGATTAGATACAAAAACTGACTGAACACATAAAATTTAAAGACTGCTTAGATTTAAAGTGTGCAAATGATGATGATATCATTTCTCTGGCAGGATATCAAGAAATCTTATTCTGATGCAAGAATTCAAGAAAAAAGTACCAAAACAGAAATAAATAAAAAAGACTGGAGTCCAAAGAAAACAAAACACATCTTGGTTTTGGGTAAACAGCTGTGCTGAAAAACAATTTCTTATCTAGCAATTAAGAACTGATTTCTTTCCAAAAGACACAGGACATTGGGTTAATAGATTTCTTTAAAAGAAAATCTGTTTTGGCTATTGAAACACTAAAGAACAGAACATCTGTTTTGCAAGTAAAGACAGATTGCATAGACGACTCAAGTATCAAACCACTGATTAGACTAGCGTTTAATCTGTTCTACTTAAATTTTCAATAAAAGTAAATGAAGTTATATTCCTGAAATTAAAGTCTTGCTACAAATATTTAATGCCAGGAACCCCCAACATTAAGAGGATTTTAAGAGTATAAAGGAGGCAATTATTAGTATATTTTAATCATTTTATTCTATTTGATGTCAAATCCAGGTTTAAAAGCAAAATCCTTTTAAAAATACTGTCAAAAGGAACACTCACCATCCATGAATTCTGTACAAATGGAAATTCTGTTTTCTACAAAAAATGCCCCATAAAATCCTATGATATATGATGAATCACACTGTAACAAAAATAAGAAAAAAAGTAGTTAAAAACCTGCAAGGCAACATCACAGGCACGTTTTACAAGCACAAAAAGACCAGGAAAACAATTACCTTGTAAAGAATCTCCAATTCAGACATAATTTGCTTCTGAAGTTCCAGTGTAATATCTAATAGTATAACCTAAATATAGAAAGACATTAATGTTAAAACATTTATCCATCTTCAAATAAAACACAGTTCTAATCACTATGAAATGTAAAACCAAAACACGGTGTTTTGGTGATTCGCCCGGGCCCTCATCCCTCCCTGTCATACTGAGTAATACACCCAGCACCCACATCTGCCTGGACCTCTGTAGGGGGCAGACAATATGCAGTGATTGATGGGATCCAGGCAAAAGCCAGGTCGCAGAGGTCAGCATTAATGGCTTTAAAAGCCAGTTAAGTTATAACACTCTTAATTTACACCTGTATTCAGCTATATTGGTTACTTCAGAAGGGGAAGATACGAATGACCCTGGAACCATTAAAGAAGAATGGTCATGTGATTCAGACACTAGGTAATAAGCAGCCAGGATGGTAAGAACATTAAAATGGGGTTTTTGTTATGCAAGTGTAAGAGTTTTTAAAATATGCCCTCTTTTTATTTTTTCCCAAGTGGATAGTATTTCTTTGCTAATATTGCTACAGACTTTTGTAGCCCAAAGGGACCTCATTTCAACCTAACTTCCTCATTTTGGGGAGGAAGTCACTAAGGTTTCTTTTCAGGGAACCGCTGCGAGGCAGGGCTGGGTCCCTCTCTGACTCAGGTCCCTGCTCTTCCCAGCACTGGTTTTCCTTAGAGTATCAGCTACTGAGCTGGGCGGGTAAGGATACAGTTTAGCTTATTTCAAACACTTATTTGTTTTTTAAAAAAGTGGATCAACTGTTCAAAATTTACTAAATTCTTCAGTAAAACCAACTCAAGAGAAATTGTTTTTTACTTAAAAAACACACAGGAAATAAAACAGGTGGAAGACAAATTTTAAGAGTTGTGGCAGAATTTCTGACTCTAGACATTTCTAGGTAAAACTTAATATTCAAGATTACAAGTGCAGCATAATTGTACACCATACAACACCAATTTTCATTTTTTATTACAAATAAAGAATACTGGAAAAAACATAAATCAGGAATTGTACACTGCTGATAGAGCAAGGAAAGAAAAGGACAATTTGAAAACATACTTTTAGTACTGACATCCATTTGAGGAAAGGGAAGGGTAAAAAAAAGAGGCAGCACCAATTTCTATCAGGAGTTTTGCTTCAGGGTTATTTATAAAAGCTCTCAGTAAACCAGATTGTAAGTGTAATACAAAACTTCCAAGAAACATTTAAACACCTCTCTCGATCAATAGTCATTTGCCAACTATATTCACTTACATCTTTGTTTCTGTATAAAACTTAGCAACAAAATAAATCCATCCAGTTCTATGCCATAAAATACCACTATGTCAAATAGAGAGCGTCTGCTACCCTAAAAAACTCTGTTCAAAGAAACGAAGTTATTATTGACCTGAAGTAGTGCTTCTCAACTCTGACCTTACAATTAGTTACCTACAGCACTCTTAAAAAATGCAAGTGCAAAAGCCTTGTCCCAGAACAATGGGCTGGGCCACATTTTAGTATACATAAAGGCTCCCCTAAGGACTTTCTAACCAATAATAAGGTTAAGAACCATTTATTTAAGGTTTCATAAATGCCATTTATGCCGTGTTAAGAAATGAGACTATCAAGACCTACTAGATCTCTGGGCATGCAACCTAGAAATGACGAGATTCCACATGGTTAGCCAACACCTTGGAAAACCCAAAAAAACACGATCATAGCATTCTCTTAATTGGGTTGCTGTGGCCTAGAATAAAGCTAAAACTCTAGCATGCCCTTTAAGACATTCTCCCACATTCCGGCTCAACTCCTTACTCTAACTTCTTCTCTCACCTCGAATCCACACATGCACTGTGGGCTTTCCGCACTTCCACTCCACAGGCTCTGCATATAAAACCTGTTTGACCAGGCTGGGGATTTAGCTCAGTGGCATAAGCACTGGTGCATGGTGTTAGTTGGATCCCGGTACCGGTACTGATAAAAAACAAACAAACAAACCTGTCTGACCAGTTAGACCCAGCTTGAAGGCCTCACCATCTTGATGAAGCCAAGCCAAAGCCTTCCATCTTCCAGCTCAGTGCTGACCCGGTATATTTCTCCTAAAGATTCTCCTTACTGCCTACTACAGTAAGTAACTACAGCCTGGAGGATTCAGGGTAAGCCCCTGAAGGACAAGGACTGAGTCTTGCATATACTGGACTTCTGTGTCCCCAGCACCAATCACAAAGTTTTACTCACAGTAATGCCCACTAAGTGATGTGGAACTTAATTAAAGTACTGCATACAACCATAAACTCTTGCTAGACACAAAGGACATGAATTGTTTAATTTCCGCAACTACATTTGAAACAAAAGGCATTAATACTGTAACAAAAGTCTCGCACTGATCTAAAGTGGAACAAAGAATACTGTGTTTGTGGAGCTAATACATTGTACTCTAATTTATCCTCATCATTTTTGGTATTTGCTATACTCCAGAAAAGTGGAGATTTCATAATGACAGAAAAGTGAATAAAGTAATTTCTGGGACCTGAGAGGGAAAGTAAAATCTACTCAAAATAACTCCACTCAAATGCTATTTTCTGGGAGACTTGGCACTCTGGGTGGAAGGTTAATTCTCCTTCCCCTGGGCATTCTTGGGAGTGAGCTTTGCAGCTGCTAAAAATAAACAGGACCATTCTTTCTTGGAAGGCAACAGAGAAAAGCATAGCAAATGCTCATTTTCTTGTCCAAGTACAGGAGAGTACGAACTGCCTGAGTCTTTGTGGTTTATTTATTTCCTCCTCAGGAAGCACTAAATGCTTTAAACTGGCAAAAATCTGAATAGAAAGCATTTCCTGGAGAAACGGTTAAGTGAGAATCTGAAATACCTGAGTGCATTTCCCTTGCTCTCCACTACACCTCCAGGACAAATAAGGATGAGTTGTCAAGTTAAATACAAGCAGTCAAGTGACTGAATTATAATTTACTCTGTGCTCCATTTAAATTAGTGTGAGGCTATTAAAATATACAGTATAAATACGGCAATTCATCACAAGCTGTCATGGATGACTTCATTTATTTACTGGAGTGGCACACGCGCCACTAAAGGGAAGGAGAGCAAAATCACAGGTCAAATTAAGCCGCTATTCTGTTTTAATTCACTTATTTAATCTGTGGTGACATAATTGTCTTTTACAGTATGTACAACTCAGAAAGGAAATTTGGGAGGATTACAGTCAGTATACAAATGATTAATCAAATGGTCCATTTAAATGCTAGTTTAAAAGGAGCAGAAACCCCAAAGCAGTCCAAGAATGATAATCAGTCCATGCTACAAGAAATTTCTTTTTAGATAGATTTTTCCCAGTTAGAAAACAAACAATACTGGGAAATCTATTAAATCCTCCAAGCATTACTATTTGAAAGATTTTATAGAATACATTAATGGTAGAAAAAGGTTCTGCCTACATGATAGCTAAGAGTTTTTAAAATTTGTTTTCTGCTCTACTTATTTGCAATTGTCTTGCCCATCCACACCAAACAAACAAGCAAACAAACAGCTACTTAGAAACACGTTTCTAGAGTTACATGGGTCACTATCAGTCATCTTTAAAATGTGATTAGGCGTCATTTTCAAAATATTCTCTTTGAGGCAGAAAATTTTCTAAATTCTATGGTATAAAATAAACATTCAAAAACTTCATTTTTCCCAAAGATCAACTCCTTTTTAAAATACCTGAAATGATACTTCACTACTGAAGTCTAAAAAAATAAACAGTATAATAATACATTTTTATGTTTAAAAACCAAGAACACTTAAAAATTCATAAAAATTAGAGATCTGTTTAGTAGGAATAGAAAAGTAACAGATTTTCAAGGACTCTTATCTAATTGCTTCAAAGCCATTCACAATGTGGGTTCCACTGAGCACTTGGCCTGGGAAAATAGATTCCCCTCCTCATCCGATGCAGGCATCAGCACCTGCAGGTGATTCTGTGTGGACAAGGACTGTGATTTGTGGCTCTTTACAATCCTTCTGTGACACTAGGTAGTGAGTCTCACAGCTGGGGTCACTGAGAGGTTCAAGTGACATGCTTAAAGTCACACGGAAGTCAGGGGAGGGTCAGGAAATGATTAAATGTGCATCTAACTCGTAACCTTCCATTTCATCTTTTAATATGTATTTTAAAAAGCTAAGAAATATTCTGAATGACAGCAATGGCCCACACCAAAAACACTATAGGATATTTTGTTTGTGAGCTGAATCTGCTTTTGAGATGTTACTTCGGAAGATAAATGAATGAAATAAGGAACAAACAAAAGAAAAAATGCATTCATTCAGCCAGTCAATCAACAAATTATGTGCTAAACACTTACTTATTAAGTGTGGTGCTATGTAAGAGGCCCTGTATGTAAGGCTCTAAAGGAAGAAAATAAGATCTCTTCCTTGCTTACAAAGAGATTTCAATCTAATAGACTGTGTATATGAATCATCAAATGCAAATCAGGATGCGGTAACACCTTTTTAAGAGTCACATACAGAGAGCTCCAGAAAGGATAGATACAGGACGGCAGTTATCCAGAATTGTCCAAGGAAGAGCAGGCCCCAGAAGGGTGGCAAGGATTCAGGCAGCTGGAGACAAGGCTGCAGGTGTCTTAATGAGCTGGACTACACGAGTCAAAGCAGCACTTCAGCAGCTGAAGTGAGACAGCTCCAAGGTGCAGATAGGGCAACAAGTTCAAATTAAAGATCTGCACATAGGAGACAACGCCGTAGGAGCAGACTGACAGACCATGCAGGATCCCGAGTTCCACTGCCTAGAGAGTAACTTGATGATGGGAGTGGAGGTGGTGGTGTAACATGGAGCATTTGCAGAGGGGAAGAAATATGACCAGAATTGTGCTTTGGGGAGACAAATCCGAGGGCGGTGAGCAATGAAGGCATGCAGCTAAGAGCGCTTAGATCAAGATCACTTTGGTCTAAATCCGGGTCCCACTACTTCTTAGCTGTGGGACATTGGGCAAATTATTTAACTTTCCTATGACTCTGGTT